GTCCTAAAATACCTGTCGGCCTAACAGATCATAGCAAATAACATCACCATTGTTCAGTGGTCTGCATCATACCTCGACTAGATCTCTCCTTCCTTCTATGAAAGCCCTAGAGTGCTGTGCTCAGTTTAGCCTTAGAGTTTTGGTTTGTTTTCATTTCATAGTTGCTGGGGGATCAAATGAAGGACCTTGTGCATAGTCAATAAATGCTCTAGTTATGAGCTACCTCCCCAGTGCATACATACCTTTTGCACATTCCTCATTAATCAGGAATGACCAGAAATTCGTGAAAAGAGAGAAACTATGAGTAAGCTGATAGAGGCCCATGAAGAGGTCAGTCAGTAAGGGAAATGTGTATGATGCCTCTCCAAAGAGAGTAAGACAAGTATGAACAGGTGCAGGCCACCCTAGCCGCTTTTCTAGATGATGCCAAACCCAGTCCTGGCCACTGGAGGGAGCTCAAGCTTTCTTCCCTGCAGTATTCACTATCTTATGCAAAAACAGTCATTGCTCAATTCACTGGGAGAAGCTGTCAAAAGGCCAGCCTCGCACTGAAATCTTTTTTCTTGTCCCTCCCCTCAGAATCTGGGGAAGAGAGGAAGCAATAATATTTATGGCTCCTCTCTAATTTTGCCAGGAGCTTTCGCCTACATGACCTTGCCTCAGTCTCTTAGCAACCCCTGGGGGGAGAAGGTAGTGATTTTCATTACTGATTTTGTAATATAAATATTTTAAAAATTCAATTAATTTAAGCAGAGGAAGACCGTCTCAAGTGGGATTTGAAGCAAGACTATTAGCCCTTTGATCTTTCCATCTTTAGTTTTAATTTTTTTTTTTTAGCTTGAAACTGGATTACATGTCCTAGATTGGACACATATTTTTAGAAGCAGGATGGTTTTAGTGGAAACTGCCTGGGGTCAAGAAGGAAAACAAGGAAAACACACTCCGCTCTCAGTGTTGCTGGTAACTGGGTTTATTACCTACTCTCTCTGTACCTTGGTCTCCATCTATAAAATGGTAATAGATAACTGTTCTGCCTCTCTGGGTGAATGAAAAGGGGCATAGTTGTTCTGGAGACCTTATACCACCATGAAGAATTGCTGCTAGGTATAGGGGATGCAGCCTCTGTTTGCTGTGTGTTTAGAGTGAACAGAGAATCCATACTCACCCCCATCCCTACTCCTCCCCATTCAGTTTTCCCTCCTGCGACCCAGAGCAGTTGTGAATGCTGAGCTGGTGTTTTCAGTCGTTTCCAGCTTAGGACTTTGATCTATGAACCTCTAACATGCATCCTGAGTTTATTCCCTCCATAACCAGAAATTCAAAACACACACACACACACACACACACACACACACACACACACACCAACATGCACCAGCATAATAAAAACCAACTTTAAGGTACTGGTTACTTTTGAAGAGGGAGGAGAAGGCAGTCAGGGTAGGCTAAGGGTACACAGATGTTTCCAATTCTGTAATGTTTATTTCTTTGTAATATAAAAGGATCCAGCTGGGGACCTAGCTCAGAGTCAAAATGCTTGCCTGGCATTCATGAGGCCCTGAGTTTGATCCCCAGAACCGGAAAAAAGGAATGGGAACTGCAAGTGTTCAAATGTTAAGGCTGGTAGGGTCGAGCCCTGGTCTCACTGTGCTTCGTTACAGTTTACTGTCTACTCGGAGTGTGTCCTCATGTTCACAAAAAACGAAAACAGACACCTTCACTTCAAGCGGCCAGCCACTGTCAGAAAAGCCATGGTCAAAGCTGAGGACCATGTTCTCCTCTGGCGTTGTTGTGTGTCCTCCTCAGACCAGATTTTAGGCCAAGACATAAAGTAGCGAACTTGGACTGGAAGAGCATCTGAAGGCCTCTGGCTGCTTAGAGCATTCATTTATGGTTCCGTCCTACAGCACTGTCCGGCACACGGCCAGACACCTGCTAGGGTGGCTTAGGCTAGAGTCTGTCAGTTTGCACTGAGCACATGAGTATGCTTGGTCCAGAATTGCTGCGCTGCCCAAGACTGCCTGCCAGAGTCTCCCATAGCTGAGTTCTCGCTCCCTTGCTAAGTCATGGAGGCCCCCTCTGGCTGCTTGGCCCATGCCTCAAAAATCTCTAGTTTTGCCCCCGGAGAGAAGCACTTGATGTGATGAAATAGCCAGGGGTTTCTAAGGCGTGTGTGTGTCCTTCCCACCACGGTCATGGCCCTCATGGCAAGTCAGCGGACACCCTCTGCAGTTGTGCGCCAAGCAGGCAGTCACGTCGGTTTCCGTTTCCGTCTGTTCCTTTGTAGACTCTATCACATCACACTGTGGACATTCCTGCTCGCCCTGGGACACTTCCTCTCGGAGTTGTTCGTCTTCGGAACAGCCGCTCCCACAGTTGGTGTGCTGGCACCCCTAATGGTAGCAAGTAAGCACCAGGCCACTCGAGACCCCCTGCGCGGGCGGCGACCTCCTGCGGCGGTGACACACACACACACACACACACACACACACCCGCTCCGCTGCGGCCTGGCAGCGGTGGGGCTGGGACAGACGCGGGTGCCGGGCTTGCGGGGTGCGGCGGCGGTGGGGCTGGGGCAGAC